CGGCCGCCCCTCCGCGCCCCTCCACGCCCCGGGCACCCCAGCTCGGCTTCTCGCCGCCCACCCGCCGCCCGCCTGCGGCCTGGGATTCCGCCTCCAGGGGCGGGTTTGGCAAAGTCTGGAGAGACTGGACCAGAGAGGGCTGGGAGTCGTGGCTCACGGCAAAGCTGCAGCGATGGACCCTTGCGTAGAAATAAAAATCCTGTTAATAAAAAGGAGCAAAAAAAGAAAAAAAGAAAAAAAGAAAAAAAAGAAAGAAAGAAAACAAACAAACAAGCAAACAAAAAAATAAAAAAGACAAACCAGAGAGAAAAAGAGGAAGTGAACTTATTGCTGTTTGGCGGAAGCTGAAATCTGAGAGAGCACCAAGGATCGAAAATACTTTAAAAATTATTTTATACATTTAAAAATACGGAAAAATAACCTGGACGAATCTCCAGAGAATAGGGGGAGTTACCAACTTAAAGTGCGTGTGTTTTTAATGGGCTAAGAAGGCAAAACAAGAGAAAGAGGTAAACTTATTTCAAGAATCAAGATGAAAGGAAGTGCGCAGCTGGGAAGTTCACAGGTTTTGAAACTGACCTTTTTTTTCTGCGAAGTTCACTTTAATACAAGAAATTTGAGAAGAGAGGCGGGCCTCCTTTTCCGTTGAATCAGATGCTTTGAGTTTAAACCCACCATGTATGGAAGAGCAAGAAGTAGGAAGACAGAACAAAACCGAGGAGAGAAAAAAATGTTAATATAAAAAATGATGCCACAAAGATTTCTCTGAGAAATTATTTTGGCAAAACTGTCCGGACTGCTGACAGCAAATTCCGATTTGCATGTTACTTCTGTTCCATTGATGGTGTCTCCCCGTCCTCCCGACCCTTTACTCACGTGCGCTCGCTCCATTTCATCCTCAGTACAAACAACAATACCAAAAGCATATGTTAAAAAACAAAACAAAGCAAAACATATATATTTTTTGCCCCGTCTTTGGTCCTGGGGACAAAAGCAAAAAGTCGGAGGGGGAAAATATCTACATTCTGCTTGTCCCAAAAAGACGGAGGCGGGCAGAAAACGTGGGCAAAGGAAACAGAAAACCAGGAGACCAAATGAAATAATGAAGGTACAGCGCCTTGCACAGTGCCTGACACATAGTAGGCGCTCAATAAATGGTAGTCCCTCCCGCTGCCCTTTTCTTGTATTCCCTCTTGCTGGTTTCCTGAAGTCCTGTTTGAGGACCGTGCTTTATTTTCCCCGCTCTATTCCATCAGCTTCACCTTAACACCCGGCTAGATTAGATATGGGCGCTAGATTTGTGTAAAATATGTTGATACACACGAACAAAGTTTATTTTGGCTATAATGTGTGAACTGATGGTTGACTTTCAACATTTGCATTTTATCTGACAAAGGTGTATCCAAGTAATCTTCTGTTTGTTTCAATTCCTGTAGCTATTCAAACTGGGGTATCCCGGTCTAAGCGATGTGTATCCCAATCCTCTAGCAAGCCTTCTTAGTTTTTTGTTTTTTTCTTCTAATTTACAAGAAAAAGGAAAAGCTCTTCTCATTGAACTTTGGTATGCGGTTGAGCTTTGTAACTATTTGTTCTCCATGAAAACAAACTTATTTATATTTGCCATATTTTTTCTAGTGTATTAAGTTATTTTAAACAAAGGAAGATGCTGTTATTTCATGACGTGTTGTTGGTACAAATTGTTTCGGTTTCACCTGTTAAACTTTTTAAATAAGTGCCAAGTTATTAATTGAAGACACTTTGCGATAAATTGAATGAAAATAGTATTGTTTCATTTGATGGGCTTCGCGTCATCTTTGTTCCTGTTACTATTAAAATATCCGGAATAGTCTTCCCTTCTTCCTTTCTGATGGATGTGTATCTGTCTCTCGAACGCACGGACTTGGAAAAGCGCGGGCCTCTGCTCCGACGCCGCAGTCAAGGGGCCGTGAGAAAAGAGGCTTCGTGGCTCGCACTAGCTCTGTGCGCATTCCCCCCATTCTATCCACTCAGCGTAGAAAACGGATTGATTTTATACCAAAACAATAAAGACACAGGTAGTAAGTAAAATAACGTAGACTAGCTTCACCTCCTTTCCCCAGACGGACTCTCGTTCTTCCTTTTGCTACGTGTTCACCCTGGGAGTTTATTTGGGGACATTTTGGGGGAAGAAGGAAGGTGGGGTCGCGCGAAGACGTCCACCTGGATTTGATGTGGACGCGTCTGGCACAATCCACACTCCGTCCCGACAGTGTCTCCGGAGCTCGGCGGGCGCTGCCTTGGGAACGAGGGGAAGAGCCACGAAGCGGAGCGGCGGGCTGGGGTCCTGTGAAGGCTGGACCCCCCCACCCCCCAGCCTGGTTTAGCGCTTCGGACGAAGCAGCCTCTTTCTGGTTAACCGTAGGAGAAGGTAGCACCTGGCAGGCGGTGTTCAGGGAAAGCCCGCTCTTTGCAGTCCTCTGAGCGCCGAGGAGCCCCCTCCCCAGCTCTCGGCCCCCTTCTCCCGGAAGAAACCCCACTTGTAAAGCGCGAGGCAGCGGCCTGCTTGGGGCGGCCGGGGGCCAGAGACCGTGCAGATGCGGCCCTGGCCAGGCCCAGGACCGGCCCTTCCCTTCCCGCGCCGGCTCTCGGGAGGGGGGGGGGACCCTCCGCGTAGCCCCTCGGGCCAAGCCCCGCGACCTCTGCCGGGCTCCCCACCGCCCCGCTTGGCTCTCTCCGCCTGGACGGGGAGATCTGCTGAGATCTTTCCCGAAGCTTTCGGGGACCACTGAGCTGGGATCGGGCCGTGGCTGCGCTCAGGCTTCGCGGGGCTCCTCGTGGGGAGCGCCCGTGGGGTCCACAGTGGGCCTCTGCCCGGGCCGGGGTCCCACCAGGCGGGGCCCAGCCCGCCCCAGCGCGGCTCGGCCGAGTCCCCGCGACCCCCAGGCAGAGCCGAGGTCACCGGCGGAGGACTGGAGCGGGGCTGGGGTGCTTCTGTGGCGTCCTCCACGGCGGGGCTCCGGGGAACCCCGAGTCAGAGAGGCCTAGGGCGGGCGTGGAGCGCGCAGCTGGCCCGGCGGGAACGGCCGCAGGTTCCCGTCCACGTCGGCGGAACCCGGCCGGGCGCGGCCTCGCCTCCTCCGGCGTCGTCTCCCCGAGGCTCGAGGGGAGCGCAGCCGCCTCCCCTGCCGTCGCGGCTCGTTCCCGGGGCCAGCCTCCCGCCCAGGTCGCGCAGGGCCACCTGGCGGGCGCGCCGCGGCCCGGACTCCGCCCCGGGCGCCTGAGTGTGCGAGCCAGAGGTCCAGACCCGGGGGGTCCCTGGGGCCGCTCTAGAGGGAGTCAGATGAAGGCTTCACTTCGGATTCAAGCAGGGCCCAGCGTGCGTTGCTGGTCGCAACTCAATAATCATAATAAGTAATTAACGGAGGACTCCTCTCGCCCAACTCTTTCAGGGCGTGCAAAGCCTTCCCGAGCTGCCAAATCCGGCTTTGGGGAAAACAGAGTTAAATGAGATTATTCCAGACACCGTTAGTGTTGAGGGGGCCCGTGATACACGAGGCCCAGTAAGATCTGAGGCCTTTGCTAGAAGCTGAAATGATATACGTCTATTCTGAGTTTTTCCCCAGATTTATAACTTTTAGCTCCTCAGCTGGTAATACTTTAGTATAATGCAATGCTCAAATTTCGGAACTACTATTTTGATTTCTGAAAAATGCCTTTTTGGCTTCGGAGACACGGGGTACTGTTATTTCTTCACAAATCAGTTTACATCATAAATTGCAAACATTTGCAATAAGATCTCAAGGTTGTTTATCTTAGGTAACCTCAAGCACTCCGCTACGTTAAACACCAGTCCAGAAAGTCTGTGAAATCATTTTAATGTGTGTCAGGGAATTAAAGGATCACTCCTTTTCATCACAGAAACAAAGCATTTAAGATTGTTTTGATTGTCAGTCTCTCAATTTTTTTAAACAGTCTTACAATTGACTATTAATTTTAAAGTCATTCTGTACAAAAATAATTACAAAACTTATATCCTGCTTTAATTAAATGTTTCTGGGCAGAAGAAAATGGTATTCTACATTGGAAAGAGGGTGATTGTTTTTTAATGTTACATTATTTTAAATTATTCTAGTTCAAAAGTAAATAAAAGTCTGCTATTTCCAATAGGGAAAAAAATGGCCTGAAATGGTTTCTTAATGTGCAATTAGAACAGTTAGTCAAAATGCATTAAAGCAACTTCACAAACCCAGAATTAATAAATATGTCATTTTAATGAGAGTGTTAACTTACGGATAATTTATTCAAGGTAGTTTTTACATTTCACGTGGAATGTCTTATTATGACCTGTCTGACTACTGTGATGCTTGTTCTTCAAAATCTAATTTATATAGGCTTCAGATATACATAATTCATAACTCCTGTTGATATATGTATACACACCCCGATTAAATCTTTACAATATGTTTAGATGTTTACTAGTATGTTTTCAAGATGACTGAAATAAAAACAGAAGAAGTGTTTTAAACATCATATTGAAAGCAAGTGCTTGCCCTGTGCACACACAAAGTAGTTGAAAATTAAAAATTAAAAAGGATTAGATAATATTTGGGCTCAGGTATAGAGTGAACACTGAAATATTTCAGACGCGGATCATTTTGGTATAAGAAATACAAAAATCTCCAAGAAAGACTTACTGATGTGAGCGTATAACGTTTCTGATGCCTGGACAATCCTTTTATGCATCTAATTCATAAAACAAACAAAAAATCCTCAGGTCTTGGGATATTTTGTTTTGGGTATTTTATATGTCAGTCAAGGTAAGCATTGCATATGCCTTCAGCACAGGAAAATTTAGTACAATACTTACATGGAGTTCTGTTGGCATG